ATTTTAAAATATATTTTTATTTTATATAATACCTCTTTTTGTTTTTTTAAGTGGAGACTTTCTTAATGTACGCTTTTAAAAATGCATCACGCTGTTTAAATTTAGACGACATCTCTTTTATGATTTTTACTAAATGTGTATGTATTGTGTCAAATAGGTACAAGTTATATTTACAGGGACTGTATGCAATTTATTTCTTCATTCGGATTTCCACTGTTTATTGGGAAACCGTAAAAACTCAACCTATAGGATATCCTCTCGAAAACACCCAACAACCCAACAAATCGTTCAACGTTCTTTTTTCTTAATATCTTTAACATTTTCCGGCCATATTCTCAAAAACACCCGATGCTTCTATAGCTTATACTTTTTATTATGATTTATTTTAAATTTTCACGTCCGATATCATTTAAACGAAAAAATCATAAAAACCTTTCTTGTACAGCGTAAAATTTTCTACAAAAGTAGGTATGCCTTGTATATTTATTAAAACCTCGTAAAAATTTTTACGAGGTTTTAATAAATATACAAGGCATACCTACTTTTGTAGAAAATTTTACGCTGTACAAGAAAGGTTTTTATGATTTTTTCGTTTAAATGATATTGACTTAAGTCAATTTATATTGCTTTTTCAAACACAAGTTGCAATTTGTTATATTTTTTTTGTTAAATTTATGTGGCAAAATTGAAGCTTGTGTAAAAATAAACAATTTTTGTAAACAAATTAACCAAAAAAAAATCTGATGTGAGTTTTGAGCCAAAATTTAAAGTTAAAGTCAATTTTTGACCATTACTCACAGAGTAGCCAATTTTTTTGAAGAATAGTCTCTTTATATTGTCGCAAAAATTAAACTAAAAGTCAAAAACAACGTTTAACGAAAAAAATCCCATATACATTGATATTTATCTATTTAGGATCAAAAGCGCATGTAACGAATATTTTGTATTATTAATTGTAGTATGCCTGAAAAAAAAAATTAAAATTCTTTAAACCCCATATGTCATTGTGCATAGTTTCATTTTCATGTTTTGCAAAAGGATCCGATTCGGTACTTTTGTTGGTGCAGAATTAATGATAACTTTACGTAATATAATTTATATTTAAGTTTGGACATTTTTATGAAATCTAACAAAAAAAACATTAAAATCCAAAAACTTTATATTTGACGCCCCTAAAAAAACGCATTTTAAAATTTATTTTTATTTTATATAATACCTCTTTTTGTTTTTTTACCGTTAAGTGGAGACTTTCTTAATCTACGCTTTTAAAAATGCATCACGCTGTTTAAATTTAGACGACATCTCTTTTATGATTTTTACTGAATGTGTATTTATTGTGTCAAATAGGTACAAGTTATATTTACAGAGACTGTATGCAATTTATTTCTTCATTCGGATTTCCACTGTTTATTGGGAAACCGTAAAAACTCAACCTATAGGATATCCTCTCGAAAACACCCAACAACCCAACAAATCTTTCAACGTTCTTTTTTCTTAATATCTTTAACATTTTCCGGCCATAATCTCAAAAACACCCGATGCTTCTATAGCTTATACTTTTTATTATGATTTATTTTAAATTTTCACGTCCGATATCATTTAAAGGAAAAAATCATAAGAACCTTTCTTGTACAGCGTAAAATATCCTACAAAAGTATGCATTGTATATTTATTAGCAATTATTTATTATTTCATTAAAATGTCAATTACGAAGTGTTAATAGACATTAAAATTGTTTTTAACAAATTGTTTTTAGGCCATAAAAAAATCTACAACCGACCGAAAAATACAAATTTGCGCTTCAAAAAGAAAGCACAAAGTTGCACTTTTCCGAGGAGCAAGCGTTTCTTTACTTTGTCGTTCGCCGAGCGACAAAGTATCCAAAAAGCTCGCTTAGTAAATATGGAAACCATAATAACGAAACGTCTATTATACGCAGTGACTTTTGACACAAAATTCAAATTTGAGGTTATCAATAATTATTAATTATTACCAAACATTTTTATAAAAACACAGGTTGTAGAAAAAATCCTGTGTGTAATTCGAGCGAAAAGTGACATTGCCGCTCTCGCTTCGCGCGTCAAACTTCTCGCTCAATATATCACTTTGCGCTCTTAACACACAAATAGCTATTAAATGTTACGTAAGTATAAAAACAACTTTGGAAATAACGGACACCCTAGGGCTATTGGGTCCTTTTCAAAAAACACCCACCTTTAGCTGTCCGTAAGTTTGAATTCCAATAACTTTGTTAAAAATTATCGGATCTTATTGATTTAAAAACCAAGTGAAAGCCTAACAAGCCCTTAGTAAACTCTTTCAGAAAAGTTTTGTTTAGTTATTTCAGAATATTTTTTTTTTAATTTTGAAACTTGTGAAACACAAGTTTTCGCATGTCCCATTAGCGTTTTATAAAACTTACATACATGTTTTTTTTTAATATTAAATAACCAGAACTTTATGTTGCTTTATAGCAATCCATAACATCCTTAGTTAATACAGTAAACAATTTATATATAAAATAATTAATTTTAAAGTATACTTTTTTTAAATTTGACTCATGTCCCAGACATTTTTTCCGTTGCGTTGTCCGTCGCGTTACCAATAGAATATTAAAAAAACATATATATGGCAACTTTTTTGATACTCACGTGATCAACAAATGATGTTAGGACGTACACATTACCCAGCTGAATTTATTTATTCAATCAGGAAGAAGATATCGGTTAAAACAGGTGCGGGTAACGCAAATGTATTAATTGTTTGTCCGCTAAGTTACTCAAAAAAAATAATAAAAATAAGGTAAGAAAAATACTATTTTTCATGTTTTTGTTTATTTTAGGGCAATAAAGCTCATTGAGAGTAATTAATGACTATAATGTCTTATTATTATTTTTTAAATATGGTTTTACAAAACTTTGTCCACTGCGTTACCGAGTCCATTATGTTACCTTATGGTAACGCAATGGAATTTAGGGTAACGCAATAGAATTTTTCGACAACAAAGTGGATATTTACCGTCGCTTTTATTAAAAGTAGTTTATAATTAACCAATTTAAAATTATTTGTAATTACAACTCATGATATACATAGATTACATCGAAGGAAAAATTCCACGCAATATAAAAGTACTAAAAGGGACCTTCACCAGCTTATACTCAAAGAAAAAGGGTGTCTACAATTTAGAAATCTAAGTTGTTATTCTGCAAGTGAGCACCACTACAAGGGATTTTGTTTATGCATTACTCTAAAATCGTACCACCCTATATAGTTTCTTTTTTACGTTATCTGATTAAGTCTTTTGTGTACCCCTGTCCGTTGTGATACCAATGTCTATTTCATTACTTTTTTTTAGTTTTTGTTAAAAAAATACTTAAAATGATTTTTATACACTATCACTTGGTAATACGTGTTTATAAATTAGAGTTTAATTCACTAATACAGTGACTAAAAGAAAATATTAATGGTATTGTTTTTTTAACAAAGAATCAGAATGGTTTCTTTTAAAAAGTAACTTAACGAACATACATATTTAAAAAAAAGCATACAATTTTTAATAAAAAATAAAATAAATAATTGGAGTCAAAAGTTTGTGAACTAAGTACATTTTATTTCAAATTATTTTTATAACAACTTTTTTTATTGAATTAAATTTTGGATTTCAAATTGGTAATGTTCACAGTGAAGATATACATATAAAGCTAGCTAAACACATTTTTCTGAAAAAAACGTAAAAAAATTAAAAAGTGCACTGCCTGTCTTAAATGTAAGTAAACAAATCTCTAAACATTTAAAAAAATCCAACAAAAAGTCAATTTAAGCAAAAAAAATATTTGGATCTTCATTTTTCTGAAAGCGGGTGTTTCTTGAAAATGACCCAATATTACATAACTGTTATTTTTACAATATATTTTCTAAATCCTGCTATTGATTTTAATGGTTAAAATTTAAGAATTTTATTATATAGACTTGACTGTCAAAAAACTTTTGTTTTATATTTTGCTAACAGTTAATTTTTTAACTTATGTTAAATCAACACACATATCAAACATTTCAAATTAATATTATATTATGTTAAATCAACATACATATCAAACATTTCCAATTAATATTATACATATTATATTTATATTAGATGTTTTGCCTTACTTACGTTAAATTAACAAACCACACCATATAGTATTTCTATGAGCATGATTTTATTTTCCCTTTGACTTTTAATTTTCTATAAATAAACGGATGAGATATACATTTTCCATCGTACACGAAAAAACTATTTCTAAACTGGTGTGTTGCAATTTACTCTCGGTTGCAACATGAATTATTGCCAAAAATACATTAAGAAATATTTTTTTTCTTTTTAAAATTTACAGACATAATATATTTTTGTTGTTATATTTTAATATTTTAGGATAGGAAACTTCGATCAAATCCACAAAGCATTCTTGTTTATTAATAAGTGTAAATTTTGTTGAAAGTGGTTTTTAAGATTTATGTTCATAAAATACATGTAGTACAAGTTTAAGCAGCTGAACGATATCACACTTAATCAGTGAGTGGGTAGTTATTTAAAAACCAATATTTTTGATTTGAAGCATTCTTGGCAATTACCCAAGAAAAAAAAATTATGTAAATTCTTATAAAAAAATGCAATAATAAATTTAGCTGGTAAAATTCTGTAAACTGGTATTATACAATATACAATAATACAATTTTTGTTTGTATCAAGTAAAATAAACAATTGAATTTTTAGTCAATATTTAGTCAATCAAATGTTTTTTTTGTGAATCTATTTTGTTCTATTTTTATCACATATATAATTTTATTTTGGATTAATAAAAATACTATAATAAGACAGTTTTAAATAATAAAAGTAGAATAAAAACATAAACATACATATAACTGAATAAAGAAAAAACAATAGATAATAAATAATATAAATTGTCGGACAAAACTTTAATTGTATTAAAAATATATAATAAATATATAATCCCACTTACAATGATCTACAATGTATATCAAATGGTTCACTAACACCTAAAATGGTGATTTTGTTGATGCAACACTAAAATCTATTTTTTTTTGTGCCGTAGTGATGATGACCGGCCGGCACTAGGTGAACTGCAGGTGACGACGTCCACTGGTCACGGCGAGGCGTCTCGACGTCCACGACGTCGTCGTCGCGGCTTGCCAAATTTCCGAGCCCGCCGGTGGAAATAGGTCTCGGGAAAAATTAGCGGCTTCGCTCCTTTACGCTTGCATTGAGAGATGAGATGTCACACAATGAGGAAAATCGTTCGAGAATTGTTGCAGAATATTATCAAAAAGTTGCCAGATAATTGTAAAAAATTTGTCAAAAAATCTTGTAGAACGTTAAGTAAAAAAATCTTTAGTTTAGTTCAAAACATGCATGTAGTAAAATCGTTCAAAAACTGTAAAGTTTTTAAACAAAAACCCAAATGTACAAAATTTCGTTTTTGAAAGTATTTATAAATGTTTATTTTGTTTCCATACAAGATATATTGTCAGAATGTTAAAATCGTCAGAAAATTGACAAAAATATGTATTAAAAAAAACACCGATATTAAAAATGTTCATTGTTATAAAATAAAAAAAAGAGATCGTTGAACATCGTCAGCAAATCTTAAAAAAGAAAATTTATATTTATACGATAAAGAAGTATCGCTAGTAGCGCCACCACTCGGCTGTTATCATTAGGGATGGGATTTTAGTTATTTTACCTTTTTTCAACCGATGTAACTATTTGAAAACCAATAATGCCAAAATGTGTTTTAAAAGATTTTCTTTTATATGAACCTAACTTGTTTTCACCTTTTTTACCTTTTTTGGAGGTTTTTGCTTTAAACTACCCTTTTTATACTTTTGTTACCTATTTTTTTAACTTGTTTTTACCTGTTTTACCTTTTTTGGAGGTTTTTGCTTTAAACTACCTTTTTATACTTTTGTTACATATTTTTTAATTTGTCAGTTTATTTTCACATATTTGTTATCTATTTTTACGTGTTTTTACTTATTTTCTTTTTTTGTGTTCTTTTTAAATTTTCCGCCAATATTTTATCCAGGGCGTGCAACTCAACGATATAGAATTTTTTTTGTTACCTTCTTTGTAGTGAGCTTATGTTCTGTCATAGAACTTCTGTGTAGTGAGTGTCACACAGTGAAACACAGTTTATTGCATAGAAATAGTTTATTGTGGGTATGTTCTGTGTTTGGGTATGCGGCTAAACAAAATAATAAACGAAACTTGAACTTTTAATGTTTTTTTTTTACCTAAAATGCTGTTTTTTTTAACCTAAAATGCTTTTTTTAGTACCTTTTTAGTTACCTATTTTTCAGTTTTTATCCCATCTTTAATTATCATCCTAACAAAAGTAGAACTTTTAATAATCAGCTGTCAAACGCTTAGGTTACAAACGAGTGTTTTTGAGAATACAAAAAAAGTTTATATACAAAAGTGTTCTTTTAGTTCCACCCTTACTTCTTAAGAAGTCCCATAAGCCAACTGAATGGCTTGTGCGGGTTAGGGGTAGGAACGGACCGCGGGCTTAAAGTCCCCTCCGAAGGACTATTACACAATAGGACAAACACAAATAAAGCCGGATAATGTTAAAAAATATTAAAATATCCAATAAACAGTGTTAATCTGAACGAAGAAATAAATTGCATACAGTCTCTGTAAATATAAATTGAACTTATTAAATACAATAAATACACATTTTAGTAGTGATTAACGTGAAAAGTGTAAACATTTCAATTCAATAAAAATCGTCAAACAAATAAGTCGTCTGAATTTAAACAGCATTTAGCATAATTAATAGCATTGATAAAGAATTCTTTAAAGTCTCCACTCAACGGTAAAATACCATTATATTAAGTATTACCTATATGTTGCCATAAATTCGTAGGTATATTTTGTTGTTTAAAATGCAGTTGTCGGCGTTTTTTAGAGAACTTAAATATAAAAATGATTGATTTTAAGGTTATGTTATGCAAAAATTATTTTTTTACTAATTTCTTAAAAATGTCCAAACTTAAATATAAATTATATTAGGTAAAGTTATCATTAGTTAATTCTGCACCAACAAATGTACTTACCGAATTGGATCCTTTGGCAAAAATAAAAATGCAACGATTTAGTTCTTGAATTTTATTTACAATTAAAAACACAATAATTCACCAAGATCCCTTTGATAAAATACACACACTAACATAACTATATAAGCATTTAAGCGTTGAGTTTCTTAATCAATGATATAAGGAATAATCAATCGAAATCGAGTACTTGCAACATAAAACACAAATAACGTGCGCGATTTAGCTGTGCAATTGAACAAAATTTGTCGAGTAAGACTTCTGCCTTCCTCTCTTTTGTAAAAAAAACTACCTATTTATTTAAAAATGATATATAATCGGTGCTTTAAATTTATTGTTGACAATTCTTAAATTCACGCAATGCATTCGAAGTCCACCAGATGGCGCGCGCGTTGCGAATTCCCGATACTTTTTTGCGTATTTTATAAATATTAAAGAATCGTCGGAAAAGAAAATTGTAATAGCGTTGAGTGAATTAATTAATGGTAATAGTATTATCAAAAAAATTCCTAAAACCCGACCTAAAAATGCTGACCAAATTGGGACGCCACTTTTTCATTCAAATTTTACTTTTACCTACATACACATTAGGGTGGGCCGAAAATCCGCTTTTTTAGAATTTCGTTTAGTAATAGCAAAAATTTTGTTCATTATGTTGTAAAAAAATTTTGTGTAAAAGATTAAAATTTTCGATCAACATCCTAGGCTCGCCCAACGCAATTAAAGATCAAAATGTTCAAAAAAAATTTTTCTTAATTTATTTCGATCGGAAATTTTATGCTCTACACAAAATTATTTTAGATGGATAGTTTCAGAAATTTGTTCATTATGTTGTAAAAAAAATTTGTGTAAAAGATTAAAATTTTCGATCCTCATCCTAGGCTCGCCCAGCGCAATTAAAGATCAAAATGTTCAAAAAAAAATTTTCCTAACTTAATTCGATCGGAAATTTTATGCTCTACAAAAAAGGTCCTTACACTAAATTACTTCAGATGGATAGTTTTAGAAATAAAACCGATTTTAGTATCAAAATTTTTTTGAACATTTTGATCTTTAATTGCGTTGGGCGAGCCTAGGATGTTGATCGAAAATTTTAATCTTTTACACAAAATTTTTTTACAACATAATGAACAAAATTTTTGCTATTACTAAACGAAATTCTAAAAAAGCGGATTTTCGGCCCACCCTAATACACATCATATACCCAATAACATCGATTTTAATTTAAACATAATAATTTGTGTACAAATGTCAGGAACATAGCGTGCTTATACAATAAAGGCTAGAGTTTTTTAGAATAAGGCCGGAAAATGTTAAAAATATCGAAATAAGAAACCCTGGGTTTGGTTTTTATCGATTTAGTTTTTACCGGTTTCTCAATAAACAGTGAAAATCAGAGTGAAGAAATAAATTGCATGCTGTCCCTGCAAATATAAATTGTACCTTTTAGATACAATAAATACACAATTTAGTAATGATTTATGTAAAAATTGTATTGTAAAATATAAAAATGTTTGCTTTTAGGGTTATGTTTGTGCAACAATTATGTTTTGATAGATTTCTTAAAAATGTCCAAAGTTAAGTATAAATTATATTATTTCTGCACCAACAAATGCAACGATTCAGTTTTTGAAATACATTTACAATTAAAAAAAACAATAATTCACCATGATCACGAACAAAATATGCTGAGTAAGACTTCCGTTTTCCTTTTTGTTGTAAAAACTTTTTTATTTAAAAATGTTGTGCAGGTCGTATACTTTAAATGTATTGTCATTGATTCTTCACTCAACGGTATTGTTGAGAATTCTTGAATTCCCACAAACCGGATGAAAAAACCGGATGCTTCTTTAGCGTATAATTAGGAAAAAAATCAGCATTTTTGTATGCTTTAAATATTATTCAATATCTTTAATAGGGGTAGCCATATTCTGTCAAAAAAACAGGTCATTTTGTATGAAATTACCTTAATTACAAAAATAAAACAATTATTGTTAACAATTAATAGTTCATTTTTGTAATTAAGTTAAATTTACACAAAATGCACCGTTATTTACGAAATATGGGAACCTAATGGGTATACCTATAACGTAAAATGACATAAATATACATTATATTAAAGAAAAATAAAGCCTTAAAAAAATATTTTTTACCTCTTATTGTATTTTTTCATTCATTGTGCACAAGTCCCAAATTCATTACGGTGCTCTATTCACAAGAATAACGCGCGTTTATTTTGGATGGAGTGGCCGGCTGGACCTAATGACCCTAATATTCTTGTATACTTTTTATTTTTTTGTTTATACAGGGTATTGACGGTTATTATTGAAATAATAATAAAACGACCCACATAACAATATATAATATTATTTACTACACATTATTACACTATTATACGTATAATGCAGGTTTACCACAAAAAATATTTTTTGGAAACAACGTAGTTTGCGTAAATAGCCCCAACGCTTTTCTTGTTGGATAATTCGTAATTTAGCAACAACGCTCCCTTTTTCGAAATACAGAGGTTTGGCAGCACAGTATCAAAAAACTAGCTTATTCTTACTCTTATGAGTAAAAATACGCCTCAACACACAAAACTGTTTTTGTAGTTGTAAATCAAAGGGTTATCTCTGGGTAAATCTTGCGGTTGAATTTTATGAATAATTTGAATTTTATTTACTTAAATAAAATACGGACTAATTTAAGACATTTTCTTAACCCCCAATTTACAAATATTTAAATAGTGGAACGCCAAAGTATTTTTTAATCGTCAATTAAAAATATCACATTTGAATTTCCGATATCACAAATTCAATTTCTGATTTCACAACTTCAATTTCTGGTATCAAAAATTAATTTTTGATATCGCAAATTAATTTCTGATATAAGAAATTAATTTTCGATATCGCAAATGTCTTAAAAAAATTAACAATTTATTAAATAAAGATATATTTTCTCCAATCCATATTATTTGTAATTTAAACAATTATAACATTAAAATTTTAAGTTGATTTAAATTATTTATCGGGGTATATAATTAAATTGTAAACATTTTTCAATTGATAATAATTATTATTTATCTGAATTCTTAAGTAAACCTAATATTTTTAATTTTAAATAAAA